CGACACGAGCCGATCCGTCCCCACCACTTTACCGACCGATCTCTGGCTCGAGTCTAGAAAAGTGGTAGGGTGGTGGTGGTGGGGATAACATCTGCTCTTAGCGTGATTGCCGTGTATTGATGTGGCTTTATGGCGCGCGGCAGGCTGCGGGCAACAAAGTAAGCTTACGGTCGTTAATGTTCCCTACTACGTGAAATTCGAGGCCGCCTGAATATTGCGCCGCGTACAACTCGACGTGCTTCACCGCGTTCCAAGCGAGATTCGCAAAGTTACGGCACAGGCCGGCTTCGACGGGCAAGAAATGCGAAGACCGTTCGGAGGATCGGTTTGATAGTTTGATCGGACCTAAAGATGTTAGGTTAAAGGGTTAGCGTATCTGCGTAGCATCGATATATATGTAGTGTACACAGTGTACATAGACAAGTAGATAGGGTCAAGATTAGTATAGGGACGAATCGCTCGCAGAAACGACATTCCGCGTGATGTCGCAATAAGCGCGTGGAATAGCCATCATAATACTCTTTTGTACATTACATAATAGTTTCAGAAAACTGTTGTGCAATTATTTTTCCCCTCGATATAAATGAAGCATTTTCTATTACGCGAGGTTTTATTCATACATAACATAACAATATATAAACGGCGCTAATTCTGCCGTCATTTTAACAACAGTAAATAACGACGATATAAAAATCAGCCTTTTTGCGATCAGATGTCACTACAATGGTGGCATTTAAAATTTGCCTGCGAATTATAAATATTTATTGCTTTAACTAATTGATAATGCCACCAAAAAAATATGCCGGCCGCAAAGAGTTAAATTTAAAACAGTGACGCAAATCTCCATGGCGATCGGTCTGTCATTGATAATGCGATATCTATGTATGACTTGTTGAAGTAATAACGAAAGGGAGGTGATCGATTAGAGGGAGCTCCAGACAGCGTATTTTGCCTGTCGATTTGTCCTCGCTCTCGTATTCGCCGAATCTAGGGTGTGTTGTGTGAAATCAGTGATTCGGAGAAAGTGAAGGGTGACATTCTTTTCGTGCATTCCTCGCTTCCGTGTTACCGATTCGTTTCCAGATGCTTGCGTGTTCGTGCACGTCGGATAGAAAATTCGCCAAAATTTCGCGTCGGAGCTTTTTTCCATCCGTTGAATTTTTCAACCTGTTGCGTCGTTCTCTTTTTTCTCGTTTTATTTTTTAAATACTATTGGGATAATATGGCGGAACGTGTTCTTGTAATATCGAAAGTGAATGCGGTTTTTATTGTGGCTGTTCCGATGAAACTGTGCGTGAAAAAAATACACGAAAAACAGAAAAACAGCGTAAATATGGAAACAATTTACTTGCAAATGAATTATCGAGATTTTTATATCGCTTTATTTCACTCATGCGAACGATTAACAAAAGTGTGTGCATATTTCTCTACCACAAAAAAAAAAGAAAAAAGAAGAGAAATATAGAAATATTTGTTTTAAGCGACATTCGTGAACGACGATACACAACGAAGACTTGGAAGAAACCAAGGT